AAGGTTCTTCACACATTATTCATTATAATAAGGCTTATTTAAAAATAGACTCAACACTTACCAATATTATCACTTAAGTAACCACCTGCCTCTTCTTTTGCTAATAAATTATCATCTAAAGACATTAGGTAATTATTTTCAGAACTTGATACAGAATTAGAGCTTGAGTTACTTTCTATTGACATTCCAATTTCTTTATTCAAATTTGCTTTATTCTGATGTCTATTTTTTGTTGTATAATGTACATATCTTCCAACTCCATTTGAATTAATTAAACATGTTTCACAGACACATAAAACTTTTTGTTTATTATCTTTATTCATTTGATCTAAAAAATAATTAGCAGTAGTATATCAAAAAAATAAATAAATATTTGGAAAGTAACTTTGATTTGTATTAATATTTGTTTGTTACATTTACTACCAGCAATGGAGTACAAATCAATCTTGCCTGAGCACACATCTTACACTTCATTTGATTCATCATATGAGACATTTTTGGCTGATAGATGCATCAAATAAGATTTTATTAATATTAACTATGGCAATACTTAATATTTTCAATTTTTGCTTCATGAATAGAATTTGAAGGATATTGTAGAGTATATTAATTAATGATTCCTGAATATGTTTTTCATGAATTAAAATAGATTAAATTTTTATTTCTTGTTATATTTTTTAAATTCAAAAAATTTTATGAAATTGATGATATAAAAACTTCACCATTAAAAAATGTATATAAAATTAAACAAAATTATATGTATATATATATATATATATATTATATATTTAAAAATTTATTACAATAAAATTATTTATTATTGTTTTCTTTCAATATCGATTTAAATTTATCAAAGTTATTGTCATACATTATCTATTTATAAATATTAGTTATTAGTTATTATTGTTGTTGGAAGGAAAAAAAAAACCCCCCAGTAAACAGGTGCTTACTTTAAATTTAATAAGGTGCCTCAATGCATCTTTCAAAATAAATATTGAGTTGAATGTTTTTGGTAGGGAGAATTCACATATTGGACGAAATAAATAAATTTGTGGAGATTCTATGTTCAAGGAATATATTTCAACTTGAAATTCTAATATATAAAATTAAAAAGTATTTTCTTTATTAATATATAAAGGAGCATTTTAAATTTTTTGTAATTACTATTAAAACCTACTTGAGCATTTTATCCCATATACGTATATTTTATTAATGTCTTTCTCTACACCAAGTTGTTTAAACTTCTTATGTATCTCATTAATCATATTCCACATCATGTTTATTATTTTTTTCTTATCGTTAGATTTTTTTCATCCTTTTGTAATGTTTTTTCTACCATTCTCCACCACAACAAATTCCAAATCATAAATATGAGTTTTTACAAAAGTATCTGGGTAGACTCCAATTTTTGTTTTTTCGTCATAAGTTAGTGATTCGTTAATTTGTTTTTTGGTAGATTCTAACTCACTATTAATAAATTAATAATTAGAATAAACAATTAATATTTGCAATAATAAAGAGTATAATAGCAATAATATTTACTTACCACCCACATATTAAAAAATAATTATTATTTTTAAACAAATAGTTGAATATTTCAAAATAAATTGCATTTTTAAGAAATCTTCGGGTAGATCAATTTCAAAATAATTGCTTGATAAGTTGAAGTAAAATAAACTACAAAATATATCAATTAGAACAAAAATTTTTTTAGGAAGATTATATTGTATTACTTACAATCTATTCAATAGCCCCACGCAAATATTCTATTTTGTTTATATGTTCTGTAAATTCTTTAATGCTATAATTATTATTAAAAATATTTAAACAATAATTAATTTGTACATCATCAAATATGGAATAACTCTGATTCAAGCTAAAGTTTTCTTTATATTTTTCATATGATTTGTTCGTAAGATCAACTATTCCAAATTTTATTGGATCACTAATAAAATATCATTTGATGTTATATATAAATAAGTTTAAATATAATATTATAGATATTTAAAATTTTACCTTGGATCTTTACAATTATTATATATTTCATTGAGCTTCTGGATGAAATCATTATTAAAAGTCTAAACATATAATATAAATTAATATTTTGTATAAAAAAATTAAATAATATATATTTATATATTTTTTTATTAACTCACATTATCAAATTTTGTTTTTTTATAATAATCAACAATTTTATTATCATTTGCATCTTTATCTCCATACTCCTCATCATTATGATCACTATTTAAATCGTCATTTAATATTAAATTTCTTTTGTACCATGATTCATTGTTTTTTATTTGCTTTAAAAAAAAAAGATTAAATAATTAATATAATGTTATAATAAAATATATATCTCAATAATAAAATAATTGTTAGTTTCAGTGAAATGAGTGATAATCATTTATTGTCATTATTATTATTACTAAATCACAGCAGCCATATGGTGGGGTGAAATAGTGTGATCATATTGTTATTGAACTGCAGCAACTTAAATAGTGGGGCAGAACAGTATGATCATGTTATCATTAAACCACAGCAATCAAAATGATGGGGTGGAATAGTGAACACAATTAATTGAACATCATTAAAGCAAAATGCAAAATATATATATATATATAAAATTAATAACCTTGTAACTTTCATATTCATCAAGTAATGTTTTTGCACAAGCCTTTTCTTCTTTTGTACCATGTTCAAGAAAACCTCTAAGAGACCTGCCATATATTGAATTTAAAGAACGTAAGTCTGGTTTTTTGATTAAGGATGATGCATGCTCTATATACAAATTATATGCCCAATATTTGGGTCTGAATTTATTGAAAAATTCTTGGAGCTCAATATTGGAATTACTTTGCAAAGAATTTTCTGAATGCATTTAAAAAAATATTAAAAATTAAAAGTATTTTACCTTACCAACATCGTTATTATATATATATATGCTCTTTTTTTTTTTAAAAATAGAGTTTTGCACTACATTCAAAGAAAATATCTCTACTATGATTTAACAAAGCTTTGGTTTAAAACACCTTAATAAAATTGGCTTATGAAGATAAATTTAATATGTATATAGTAGTTAAATAATAAAAAAAACATCATTTATCATGTGTATTTGTTTTATCAAATCTGTATATAAATATAAATATATATAAATATATTTATATTTATATACAGATTTGACAATAAAAAACGAAAAAATTTTTTTTGTCAGATATATATATGAAATCTAATCCCTTAGGAACTCTTGAAGTGCTGTATTAAACTCAATCTCAGCTTGAGGATTAAATTCCATTTGTAATTCCTCAGGTTCATCAATTTCTAATGGTTGAATTTCATCTTCAGGATCATCTTCTATT